ATTTCTATTCCATTCCATTATTTTCTGTTCTTTCTATTTTTATTCTTTCTTTCTACTTCTATTTCTCTTGTGTCTCTCCCCCCACCGCCCCCCACCAGTTCTTTCATTAGAAGGAAGCAGCAACTGTGCCACGAGATGAGAGAATTGTTTTTCGACGTGGCCCAAGAAAACGCCTTCCGGCTGCACGATCAACTCGACATCCTGGAGAGGTAAGGCAGGCTGAGCCCTTCGGTGTTGCTTTCAAGTTGCAAGCCACAATGATCTGCGTTGCAGGTCAGGCCAAGCCAAACAGAAAAAGAAGAACTACCCGCTCGATAACCAAGCAAGTAGATAAGTCAAGAGGAAGAAGAAAAATTCAGATGTAGTGCAGAAAAATTCAGAAGATAAATTTGGATGTCTTTATAAAATATTGTAGGAGATATAAGAGGTAGACTTTGACTTACGAGCACAACTGAGCCCCCAAATTTATGTTGTTAAATACCTTAGTTTTATTCTGCAGGTCTTGGACCTGCCTGCCCCCAACACACACACACACACACACACACACGGTCACAAATGGTCAACGAAATGGGAAAAGGCCGGTTTACATTGAACTTATAGGCCCCTTATAGATGCTGGAAGCTTTAAGAGATTTCTTCAGATGTTTAAAAGGTGAAGGTTCCCCTTGCACATACATGTTAGTCGTTTCCGGCTCTAGAGGGCGGTGCTCATCTCCGTTGCAAAGCCGAAGAGCCAGCGCTGTCCGAAGATGACTCCGTGGTCACGTGGCCGGCATGACTAAACACTGAAGGTGCACGGAACGCTGTTCCTTTCCCACCAAAGGGGTCCCTATTTTTCTACTTGCGTTTTTTTAACGTGCTTTCGAACTGCTAGGTTGGCAGAAGCTGGGACAAGTAACAGCTCACTCCCTTATGCGGCGCTAGGGATTTGAACCGCCGAATGTGGATGTTTATGTTTGTGTAAAACACACCAACCCACTTGACAGGAGACGAGAGGAGAAGAACATTCAGAAATACCTGTGCCTGAACTATCTGACCCGCTTCCGGAAAGATCTTGAGCGAATGAAACAGTCCGTGGTGGGCAAAGAGCCCGAACAAGATGCCGAATCGGAAAACTGGTGAGAAGGGGGGAAAGGGCCCAGCTGGACTTTTTGGGTTGTGTAATTCTGCAGAGGAAAGCCAAGAACGTGGTCCCGGCATCATCAATCCCCTTAACTGCAATTGAAAACAAACTAAGGTTCCTTGGTGCAACTTGGGAAGAAAAGATGTTTCCGTCATCCTAAATTCAGGCGATTTTAGCAACTTAAATTTCCAAACATCTTGTGGCTTTGTGGAACTGTAATAGTTACTGGGGGAATCCGTAAGATGGGAAATCCGTAAGATGGGAGGGCCCTTCCCCTAGAACAGTCTTGATTCTTATCAGTTGCATACCAACATTGATGTCGGGAAACTGCCAGACAGGCTGGAAGGAGGAGTCAAACGAGGTTCTAGCTTGGAATCCTCGCGTAGTTGCAAGCAACATAAACTTGACTTCTCTCAAGCTGTATGAATCATTATCTGGCCATTCCCAGGGGAAGGCAAGCAGTCTAGGAAGCATTCTTGCAACATAGGTGGTAGACAATAAAGTTGTTTACCCCAGCTATTTACGAGTGGGTCAGGCTGTTTTTCTCTTGCTTAGTATTTTCTTTTTTTCAAGGTTTTCCACTTTGCTGGAAAGGATTCCCGATGAGATCAGGAGAGACCGCCGTACCCAGAAAGTCCTCAAGAAGCTGGAAAGGTTCGCCAGGAATCCGGACTTACGCATCCGGCCTCCCACTTTTTTGAAGGTCTTGGGAGAACTTCGGATCTGGGAAATTTGCTCTCCGGACATCTGCGCAGCTGTGGAGGTGAGGGATGTGGGTGTGGAAAGGAACTCAACTCCGGTCTTAAACAGTGCTATTTTCTGAACCCCCTTCATGCAAATGTTTAAAAGGATTAATTCAAAAGGTAGTCCTCGATTTATAAGTTAATAGAGTGACCAAAGTTACAACATCACCAAAAAACGTGACCTAGGACTATTTTTTACAGGTACAACCCTTATAGCATCCCCATGATCATGTGATTAAAATTCAGATGCTTGACAAAGGGTTCATACTTATGACTACCTTTGTCTAAAATAGTATTGGGTTTCCTGCTTGGGCAGGGGGTCGGACTAGAAGACCTCCAAGGTCCCTTCCAACTCTGTTATTCTGTTATCTGACCTTTCCCATGTGCAAGCTTGCCAGTCTGGGGAAGATTCCTGTATTACAGGCAAAGAACAATAAAGTAGCTAGTTTGATCTCTACACAGGGGTCTGGTTGTTTGCTCCTGACACTGTGGGACGACACCCCAAACAAATATAGAAGTATGATTCTGGTTGTCATAACATGGGGTTTTTTACAGTCCAGCTGTTGTGGCCTGTCGGCCGCGGGCTCCTCCAGCAGCTGAAACAGAGGAGAAAGAGGCAGCGTGGGTCAGCATCAGTGGTGGGATTCAATTTTTTTTACTACCGGTTCTGGGGGCATGGCTTGGTGGGCATGGCAGGGGAAGGATACTGTAAAATCTCCAGTCAGAGGTGGGATTTGCCGGTTCTCCGAACTACTCAAAATTTCCACTACCGGTTCTCCAGAACTGGTCAGAACCAGCTGAATACCACCTCTGGTGGAAAAAGACCTGATCATCAAATTCTTACATATATATTTTTCATCACAGTTCCTGCGCGAATATATTGTGGATATGCCCGAAGACGATTACAAGCAATGGCTGCAGGCTCGGGTGCCGTTCCCCAAACGCGTGCACAGTGCCCCTCCTCTGTGACCCTGACAGCTCCAGGAAGGAGATCTCCTTCGTGGAAGAAAGGGTCATTGGGGGATCCCCAAGAGATCCCATTCTGGTGGATGCGGAAGGATCCAACTGGAAGACTTCGAAAATGCTCATTCTCGGGAGTTTTTGGTTGCAGGTTCAAAAACAAGAGAATTGATCAGCCCACGACTCTTTACCTTAGAATGTTGTTCTGCTTTTTAAATGTTTTTGTTGTTGCGTTGAATTTAACGTTTATGTAAGGGGAGAGGGAGTGTTACACAGAGTGTTGGCCCAGTTCTGCTATGTGGGACAGCAGATTCCTTTCCTTTCGGTGATCAAGCTTCTTCCACTAAACAAAGCAGGCCTTAGGGTTCATTGGATCCAATTCTTATTTGTTATAGTTGTTTCTGGTTCTGTATTTAACTTGGATGGATTAAAAATCCCTATTTAAGCATTGCAGTGTCTGAAGCCTTGATTTTTTTTGAGCAAGCTGCAAAATGAATCCAACGACGTTGTGCAAAAAAAAAAAAAACCCACACTGGGTAAGGAAATCGGTTCGAGTCCCTGAGGATCACCGGTCACCTGAGGAAGCAATGGAGTTAACCGTGTTGTCTTGACTTTAGTTGAGGACTCAATGCAGCATTCCTGAACCTTGGCAACTTTTAAGAGTGGTGGACTTGAACTCCCAGAATTCCTCAGCCAGCATGGATCAGGGATTAGAGCTGACTTGAGGAATTCTGGGAGTTGAAGTCTACAGATCTTAAAATTGCAAAGCAGACCCTCTGACTATCGTATCCTCTCAGGTTATGGCAATCTTAAAATTGCCAAGGTCCAGAAACACTGGCTTAAGGTATTGTATGAATCAAGCTCACGGTGGTTTAGACCAGTGGTCACCAACCAGTGGGCCAGGGACCACTGGTGGTCCGCAATAAATTTTGGGTGGTCCACAGAGAAATGTCACCTCCAAAGCAATTAATCCAGGCTACGCAGGAACACAAGGCTGTGCCGCCCATATGGCCCACGGGAACACAAGGCTTGCATCGCTTGCACTGCGAACAACACGAGGTAGTGAGGGGAGGAGGGAAAGGGTGGAGGGGGGGAACTTACCCCACACACCTGGCCTGGCCACCAGGCTGCTTCTTTCTGCTTCTTTCTTCTTCTGCTTTTGGCTACAAGGAAAGCAGCAAAAGTCTTTCTTTCTCTCCCCCAAACTCCGCCAGAAATGAGTCTTTGGGACCCTGCAAGACATCCTGCTTCAAGAGGCTGTGCTGGCACGACAAGTCTCACAGACTCATTTCTGGCGGAGTTTGGGGGAGAGAAAGAAAGACTTCTGCTGCTTCTGCTGCTTTCCTTGCATGAAGCCAAAAGTCTCTTTCTCTCTCTCTCCCCAAGAACGGAGCTGGAGACGGTATCCTGCGATCCTAAATAAAGAACGATCGATCGATAGGAAAACGGGGTGGAGGATTTTCCTGCAGACTTTTGGGGGGATTTTCCCAGGGTCTCTGGTCCGCGGGATTTAAAATGATGAGTTTAGTGGTCCCTGAGGTCCAAAACTTGGCGACCTTTGCTTTAGACTTGCATTCCTGTATTCCCAAAGGTCAGTCACTTTATTAAACTTCAGCAAACCAACCGCTGTTGTTGTTTTGCTTTCATACGAGCAAAGATGGGCACCGCTAATGAGATTTCAGTTGAAAGCTTTTTATTAAATCACCATCCAAACAGCTTTTTTTTTTGCAACCTCCCCCTTCTGCATTTCTCTGGCTCCTTAAATGTGTCTGATTTCCAGAATCTTCGGAGCCACATCAAACCAACTGAAAATGAACTTGCTTTTGGCAAAAAATAAAAATTAAATTTCCTTCCCGCTTTTAACCCGAGTGGAAACGTCTCCTTCCAACAAAGAGGGATGGGCGAATTCGCCACTAACTCACTACAGGATGGCTTTAGAATGTATTCCCCCCCCCCCCCACCAAAAAAAAGAGGGGTAGGAAGACCAAATTCTCTCATTTAAACTAGCAGAATAATTAAGGCTATTCTGGTATGTATGTATGTATGTATGTATGTATGTATGTATGTATGTGTGTGTGTATGTATGTATGTATATGTGTGTGTGTGTGTGTGTATACGTGTATATATGTATGTATGTGTGTGTATATATAATGAAAATAGTTTTCCGACCTCTTCTTTTTTTGTTTTCTTTCCCTCTTAACCAGCTCCTGTCACAATTAGCATTTTCAAAAATGAAAACATTTTCGTCGGCTTGGAGACTCTGCAATGCCAACTTGCTTCTCACGTCAGGATGGTGTCGTCAATTTGTTCAACCGAGTCAGCCTGGTTGGCGAGTTTCTTCAGGGATCGCCGGCAACTCTCGTTCAGCAGCTCCAAGCTGGCAGCGTCAAGGATTTTGGAGACGGACTGAGAGAGAAAAAAAAATCAAAAGTTCAGAGAAAAAAATAGTCTTCAATCCAGCAGTCCAGAACTCCCTGTCTCCTGGTGATCGGCCCAAAGTCACCCAGTCAGCTTTCATGCCTAAGGTCGGACTAGAACTCCCTGTCTCCTGGTGATCGACCCAAAGTCTCCCAGCTGGCTTTCATACCTA